TCCAGGAATAGTGACATTATTTCCGAGGATTATCGAGTTACTATATACTCTATCATGAGATGTAGCTCCTACTGTGAAGATCCATGGACTAAAGGAAGACATGCTCTTAGGAGCTGGTCCTGTGTTTCCAGCTGCTTGCACTACAAAGATCCCTGCTTTCACAGCTGAAAGCAATGCCATATCGATCGGGTTGAAGAACGTAGCAATACCAGGAGGACGTCTATTTGGTGTGATTGATAAGTTTATTATGTCAACTCCATCTTGAGCCGCCTTCAAAAGAAAACATCCATAACCATGTCAAGCATAAGAAAAACTGTTTCATATAAGTTCCGGTTTCAAAGGTAACATTTTTAGTTACCTGATCTATGGCTGCAATGATATCTGCTGCAAAACCTCCAAACCTCTTATACAATGCCTTGTAAATAGCAATACTAACAAGAAAAGACAAGACTTTTAGATTCTCTATGAATTGTTTCCAAATGAATATCATTTCGTGGTATCGACTTACTGAGCACGAGGAGACATCCCGCTAGCATTTCCAAGGTGATGACCGGCAACTACCACCGGGATCCCGTGATTCCCAGCTGCAACAGAAGCTGTGTGCCTGAACAAATCAACCAATATCAGACTTAACCATTTGGTAGTTAATTAGTTAATCAGCATCTGAGTGGCTTATATACACTTACGTGCCATGCCCTTCACCATCAAATGGCGAAGCATCGTCCTGAGATGAATTCAAGACTCCTCTACTGAGAGCAGACTCAGCAAAATGGCGTGCTCCAATGAGCTTCCTATTGCAAGAACCGGGCGGGAAACCAATGGTAACTTCGCAGACGCCAGTAAACCGAGGAGGGATCGAATATGTATGCCCCGGGATTTTGTCACTAAAACTAGGATGAGTGGGATCAATTCCAGTATCAATAAACCCTATAACAACTCCTTCTCCTGCATATTCAGAGCCTCCATCACGGAGCCAAGCTCCACGAGGCAAACCTAAGAACTGCGGTGTGTGAGTAGTTGCTTTCTCAACCGGAAAATCCAAAACCACATTGTCCACTTCTTCTCTAGCCGCAAGTCTATCAGCCTAAAGAAAAAAAAAACAGTTTTCAAACTCATGAGCTCAAAACAATGAACAAACACTAACATTTAGACATACATATACTGTTTCTAAGACAATATAAGTACCTGCTTTCGAGTAAGAACCGCGGAAAACCCATTGATGAGATAGTGGTAACTGTACAGCTTAAGATAATTCTCCTTTCTCAATACTTTTCTCAGCAAAGAATCGTGAACTCTAATGATAGAAGCACTTCTGTTCCTATATGTATAAACAAAGAGATTAGGATCATACTATAGCATAAAGGTTCCAGCTTTAAGGAAAAAAATTCATCAGACATTAATGTTAATAGCTTCGTTTAACAACATAAAGGTTTCAACTTGGAGCACCAATTTAACAAGCATGCCTATATATCCGTTTAGACTTTCAGGAAAAGACCAAAGACACAAGACCCATTAGACCCAAAGACAAAATTGACAAATTTCAATTTCAACTAATGTCGGCTTATGAAGATTGACAAAAAGACCAAACCCTCCCGGATAAATCAACAGCGATTCCAAGAACTTTTGAGAGACGAATTCAAACCCTGGATAAAGATTAAAACTTTGAAGACAAAAAGGTAAACTTTTGCTACATACAATGTTCTGTAAATTTGGGATGAAGTAGGGGTAAGGACGTGTTTGGAGTCACTCGATTCTCTGCCGGAGAAATGAACTAATGGACGGTCCTTGAGAGTAACAATGTAAACAGCGGAAGACGTGGTTGGGTTTTGGTCAGACTCATCCAAACAGAACACAGACGACGCAACCAAACAGAGCAGGAACACAAAACGAACAAGAGAAGACTCCTCCATGGTTCTTGAGCTGAAATTCTCAGAAGAAAAGAGGAAAAGAATGGAAATTGCAGAGACCCATTAGAGCTCCATGGAAGTAGAGTAGAGAAACGTAATCTCAGAAGAAGCAGAGAATGAAGAAGAAAGAGGAAAGAGAAAGAGAGAGTTAAGAGGGTTTTAGAGTACAATGGTCTGAGAGTACTTTTAGCTGGAAGAAAGAAGTAAAGGCGTTCTCGGTTTCTGAATGTTTTATTAATGCAAAATGCAAAGATCGGTGGAAGACTTTTAACTTGTTCTCACTTGTAGTTTCCTATATTGTTTCAAGTGTGATTATGCTTTACAATGCATCTGTGTAGCCTTTACTAACATAAAAAAATGATCATCTTTGTTGTCTTTTATTTCATTTTTGGCCCATTCAATATTCATCAATCTTTAAATGTTTTTATATGAAAACAAATTCCTAAACTCTTGCTGATTTTACATTAATCAAATGTTGCATGTTGATGTTGTTATGCTAAATGGGTGAAACAAAGGAAAGTGGTCATGTCTTTGAGTCTTTTGGTACTTTAAATTCTTTATTTGTCTTTTATCATTTAGGTGACGTTTTGTTGTATTTTCCAACGGTAAGATTCTATGAGAAGTAGCTTTTGTTCTCTCCTTGATTAGCATCCGTGACTCTTCTTTGACCATTTTCAGGAATCAATGGCTAGAAAGCCACTTTCTGAGAAAAAATGTTCTAGTATGCCACCTTCGAATTTGTAATTTCATTTAACATTTTTTTTAAAATCAAAAGCTAAGGAAATGTCCAAAAGCCCTTTTGAGAAATCAACAATTACAAAATCCAACCTAGAATTCACTATCTCAACTACCAAACACTTCCAATCCTCTCCAATTATTCCCCCAAAAACTTCTCCACCACAACCATGTCTACGTCTCTCCGCACAATCACCGCTGCTTCTCGTCTCCTCCGCTCCTCCTCCTCTTCCAGATCCACACTCGCTCTCTCCGCTTCCTCTTCTCCCTCCGCTTCCTCTTCTCTCTCTTTCGCTGTCTCCGCTTCTCTCTCTCGTCTCTTCTCGACTTCTCTATTCTTCATCTCTCAATCAGGTATGCCTCACTCTCTCTTCTAAATCTTATCCTTATTGTTTGATGCAGCTTGTGTGTTCTTTCTTTATGCTTATTGTTTGATGCAGATTCGTGAGTCCATGTTAGGTTTAATGTGAAATCGAGCATAGATTCGTAACAAGTGGTATCAGAGCCTCATGTTTTGAGGAAAGCTTTGAAGTTTGTAAAAGAAAACCAAGAAAGTTTCAAGCTTTGTTGAAGAAACTGCAAAAGCTGATGAATGCGAGAGCTGTGTACCTCGGTGAGGCGGAGCAAGTGCCTACCAAAGACGACAAAGAGCTTGAACTCGAAATCGTTAGAAACTTGAGGAAGAGATGCGTTGAGAGCCAGCGTCAAATATCTGTAGCACTGGAAGCATTCCCTCTCGATTTTCAGGACCAGCTTAATCAATACATGGATAAGAGGTTTGTCTACACATTCTTATTGCAAATTTAAGATTGCCTCGGTACTTTTCGTGATCGTGAATATTGTTTGGTGGCAGGATAAACGGAGATTTAATCCACCTGATCCAATAGCTAGGATAAAGCTTGAGTTTCCCTTAGGATTCTCTAGTTGTAATAGATGTTGGTCTCCATCGGGTTCATGGGAAGTCTGCTGACTTGTAGCTTGAATATCTTCATCATGTGGAAAGCTTTTGAACCAGTTCTACTTCTGCGTGATTCCTTGATGAGTTAAGTTTCTGGTATAAGTGGATTTGTAGCTTAATTCCTCTTGGTTAGGTTGATATGCTTCTTGAAAGGAACATATGTATTTGGTACGCTTAGGTTGGTTCTCTCCAAGGGTTTTTAAAACCAAGTCATGTTTTGGTAGCATACGCCGGAGAAATTGAAATCGAATCTTTGTTTATGTATAGTAAAGTGGGTCTTTTGTTTATGTACTTTGGTGATATTTTGGTACAACTGTAATTATTAGGTACAACTGTAAATAGAAATTAAAATTATTTAAGGTATACAATTTAAAATGTTTTAAAATCATCCAATGTGTGGTAAAATGCACCAATGTCCATGGTAACCCATGCCTTATGTTTTCGATTAAGCTTTTCATTTGTTGTTTATTTTCACACAACTACGGATGTAATCTATTTCTCACAAAGCAGATGGATACTTATCATACTGTATGCAATCGTTTATTTAAGTACAACTGATATATTTAGGTACAACTACGTAAAGGTACAACTGGTATATTTAGGTACAACTGGTATATTTAGGTATAACTACGTAAAGGTACAACTGGTATATTTAGGTACAACTACGTAAAGGTACAACTTATAAAAAAGTACAACTAGATCATTTAGGTACAACTGAGACAATTAAAAATAACTTTTTAAAAAATAAAAAGTTAATTAAAATTGGTATTAAATAAATTTAAACGAAGTAAAAAAAAAAATTAAAGATGACGTAAGCATGATTTTTGGCGGCGGAATGGTAACACGTGTGGTAAGGTGGGCCAAAAACAGCATGATATTAATAAAAAATTGTTTTGTTTTAAACATAGTTGTACCTAGTTGTCCAGTTGTACTGTCATATTCATAGTTGGACTTTTGCGATTTTTATGTATTTCCAGTTGGACTTAAATGAAAATTAGTAATTTCTAGTTGGACACATGATGTTACACTATTAATTATCGTTTAAGAGGTTTTCAGAATACAATGTTCAGAAAAACTTAGATTTCACCTCTTTTGCTTCATATGAGATGATCACTTACTAAATCTTCCTTATATTAGAAAAAGTATGTTATGTGAAAATGAAAAAAATAGTTACGAAATTGATAAATTCTGGTTCAAATAGTCTATTTTTATATTTGAAGATGTTTTTGGAGAATTTTTCATATAAATCTTAATTTACAATTTATTATAATTTAATAAAAATCATAATACAATAAACGTAGTTGAACTAGTTGAACTAATAGTATATATTAGGAAAATAATTAATTCGATTTTTATTTATTTAAAATTATTTTATTAGAGTTCAGGATGTTTTTGGAATCTTTATTAACTCTAATTTATCATTTTCATATTTGTTGTATAGAAATACATATACATTTATGGTCTTAGTTGTACTCAGTCGAACCTAATTCCATATTCCTAAAAAGCTCAATCGCTTAAGTGTTTTGGCTTCTTCGACTCTTCTACATCTGACATACAAGTTCAAAAGTACATTGTTGGAATGTAAGTTCGTGTCAAACCCACTTTGATCATAATATATACATAAACTCTCTTACTTACTATCAAAGCACCAAACTTTTCACAAGTAGACAACAAGCTAACGATTGTGAACCCATTAGACTTGATACCCTTATAATCCATTTAAGTATAAAGCGCCAAAACTTCGTTTAGTTTACCGTTTTCTGCAACACCATTAATCACAAAATTTCAAGCCACAAGATCTCTCTCAAGCATTTTATCAAACACCTTGTATGCATTAGCAGATTGATATCTCTCTTGGGCAATCTGTCGAACAGCTTCTATGCATAAAAGAAAAAAACAAAGGTTTGATTTTTGATTCGTTTCTATGGCGAGTATGGTTCAAAATCTCAACTTTTTGCAGCTCAAATCTCTCAATCTCACAATCAATCGAACAAGAAATCAAACGAAGTAAAAACAAGAGATATAAGAAATTGTTAAACCTAGTTCAATTCGTCGATGTGAAGAGATCTACGTCTAGGGAGAGATTCTATCCAGAAAACCATTATGAAAGATCATTGTTACACTCAAGAGCAACAACGAGAATCAGAGCTTAAGCTTTCACAGGAAGAAGAGAAAGTTTCGGGTCAAAAGAGAAGAAGAAGAAGAAGAGAACTCTCTAAACCAAAAAGAGTCTTTGAATTGTCTTATTCTTCACTCTTCAAACAAACCAGCTGATGTCTTAACCAGACTTAAACCACATATAACCAACTAAGGGTATAATAGTATTATCCACTATATGGATGGCATTGAGACTCTAAAGTGGCAGTCGTGATTCTCATTTCCGGTTCAGTGGCAAACAAGCCTTGGTCTCCATTTTCAGCCAAAACACCAAAACCCGATCACACCATAACGGATTTATCCGGTTAAGACTAAAATAATCATCCCTGGCACTGGCAGCATATGTACCAAATAAAAACCAAGATTAAACCTATTTGCTAGCAATCTACGACCATGAGAATAAGATGTGCTTTATTCTAGAAATGCATGAGATGAGGAAAAAAGCTATAAAGCAATAATTATTACCACATCAAAAGAAGTAGGTCCAACTTATACTTTTTAACCTTTTAATTAACACGAGTCATGACTCATTATACTCACTTTACATCACTTCTCTTGTATTTTAACCGTTGAAGACCGAAATAATGGATTCTATTATCACCATCATCTTTTGCGTTGGTTTTAACTCGTACTAACACTAAAAAACCATCTCCTTTTATGGTTACCACTTACCAATGATCCAGTAATTCAACCAAACCGGTTAACTCAAAATCTTGTTTATTTTTCACTCATCGAACCGGACAACGTTCATGCTGGATTCACGGATTATGGACAGAAGACACAAAACTACCATGGTTAAACAAAAAAAGAAAAGAAAAACCTAAGCCAAAGATGATGAGTGAAAAATTGCAATGGCCTCAAACGCAAGGTTATTAATTTGCATTTTGGAATTTCTAGGTTAGTGATTCGTCATTTTACGATTCGAACCGTTTTCGGGTTGGACTTGGACCTATTAAGATAACAAACTAGGATAATGGGTTTAGATCACCAGGCTTAAGCCCAATAATAGCTGTCACATATCAAAAAAACAACATCCCGTTTCTACTTACATAAAACTACGCCGCGTTAGTTTTGACTAGAAAGAAACGTCAAGTAGTTTTATTCGTCTAGCCACGTCGGCCGTTGACGATAGCCGATAGGGTTCAACGACGATTGTCTCTGATAATTTCGAAATTTGCTTTAGTGAAGATACAAAAATGGCGGTGACGATTTCGACGAATACTTTCGTAAATGCATCTTTTTTAGATGAAAGTCGGAATTTTTTCTGGAAACCATTGTTCCCTCAGCCTTCCTATAACTGCCGACGAGTCGTTCGTCTGAATTCGAGGAAATCGAAGACTAAGGTAATGTTCTGCTTGAATTTGAACACGAAGGAGGTTGGGATGCAAACGTCGGGTGATAAAGGTTTTGAATTCAAACCCAGTTTTGATCAGTACTTGCAAATCATGGAATCGGTTAAAACAGCGAGGAAGAAGAAGAAATTCGACAGATTTAAAGTAGAGGATGATGATGGTGGAGTTGGAAATAGTGATAGTGTTGATTCGGAAGTGAAAGACGGTGTTTCCTCGAGGCGATTAGGATTGGATAAAGATGTGAAGATTAAGAGTGGTGAGGCAAAAGATGAAAGTTTCAGGAGGAGATACACAAGGCAGGAGATTGTAAGTGATAAACGTAATGTGAGAGGTGTCAATAGGAGTGCAGAAATTGGAATTCAGAGAATAAACAAAGATGTGAAATGGAGTAAGAGTGGTGAGTCTTCAGTGACTGTGCAAGAAGATGAGAGCTTTAGGAGAAGCTACTCGAAGCAGGAGCATCACCGTTCCTCTGAAACATCGAGAGGTTCCAAAGTTGATGAATTGGATCTTGTTGTTGAAGAAAGGAGATTTCCGAGAATAGCCAAAGATGCAAGATGGAGTAAGAGTGGTGAATCTTTAGTGACTTTGTCAGAAGATGAGAGTTTCAGGAGACGGAATCCGAAGCAGGAGATGGTGAGGTATCAGCGTGTCTCTGATACACCGAGAGGGATTGAGAGAGGTTCCAAAGGATATGGATTGGATCTCCTTGCTGAAGAAAGGCGAATTGAGAGATTAGCTAACGAGAGGCATGAGATAAGAAGTAGCAAATTGAGTGGAACCAGGAGAATTGGTGCTAAGAGAAATGATGATGATGATGATAGCTTGTTTGCCATGGAAACTCCTGCCTTTAGGTTTTCTGATGAGTCCAGTGACATAGTGGACAAGCCTGCTACTTCACGAGTCGAAATGGAAGATAGAATCGAGAAGTTAGCAAAAGTGTATGTGTTTATGATATTATCTAGATTTGGTTCAAGTTCCTAGATTATATGGAAGAAAAAACTTAGGAGTAAATAATGATTTGATTTGGTTATGTGCTAGTGCTGTAGTGCAGATGAAATTAGGGGGTGATATCAGTACATTTCTCATGAAATTATTATCATATTCAGCTGAATTTTATGTTAAGGTAGTTTATTTCGCTAGGTTGAATGGTGCAGACATCAATATGCCTGAGTGGCAGTTTTCCAAGGCGATCCGGAGTGCAAAAATCAGATACACAGATTACACCGTAATGAGACTGATCCACTTTCTAGGGAAACTAGGAAACTGGAGACGAGTTCTTCAAGTCATCGAGTGGCTTCAAAGGCAAGACCGTTACAAATCGAACAAGCTAAGGTATATATTTACTGACTATTCTAAAAGTGAGCTGTGGATATACTACATTGGGAGCCTGTTTGATTTCACTTATAGAAGTCCAGAATCTGTTTTTAAAAACGTAATGCTGACAACAAAAATTTACCATTTTGGATCCAGAATCATCTATACAACTGCACTAAACGTTCTTGGTAAATCAAGGAGGCCTGTGGAAGCCCTCAATGTATTCCACGCTATGCTGGTAAAACCCTTGTGCCATACTTGTATATGTTCGTGTTGCTTTTGATATAATTTGAGTTAATCTTTTTGCTTTCTTCGCCAGTTACAAATTTCATCATATCCAGATATGGTAGCATACCGTTCAATTGCAGTCACACTTGGACAAGCTGGGCATATCAAGGAACTCTTCCATGTGATTGATACAATGCGATCTCCACCTAAAAAGAAGTTCAAGCCAACAACACTTGAAAAATGGGATCCCCGGCTTGAACCAGATGTTGTTGTTTATAATGCAGTCAGTAATTTATAATTATCTCATTCTTATGATTATATATAGCCTACACTTATTCTGGGAAACATTAAGTCACTCGCCTGATGCAAATGCTGGACATCTGACCACAGGTGCTCAACGCATGTGTTCAACGAAAGCAATGGGAAGGAGCATTCTGGGTATTGCAACAGTTGAAGCAACGTGGGCAAAAACCTTCTCCTGTAACCTATGGTCTTGTCATGGAGGTGAAATATCTCTTCTTCTCGTAACAGTTAATGTTGCATATCAACGCTATTGAGTAGTGGATTTGTATTTGTGTCTAAGTAGGTGATGTTAGCATGTGAGAAGTACAATTTAGTTCATGAATTCTTCAGGAAGATGCAGAAATCTTCTATCCCTAATGCTCTAGCATATAGAGGTATTTTGTGAACTCCTTGTTCTTTTTCTTTAGATTATTAGTATTTGAATTTCTCACTTCTCACTGAAGAGTAACCATTTGTATCTGTGATCAGTTCTTGTTAATACTCTTTGGAAAGAAGGTAAAAGCGATGAGGCCATACATACGGTTGAGGATATGGAAAGCCGTGGTATTGTTGGATCAGCTGCTCTTTACTACGACCTTGCTCGCTGTCTTTGTAGCGCAGGAAGGTGTAATGAAGCTCTCAATATGGTAAATTTTGTGAATCCAGTAGTCCTTAAGCTTATCGAGAATTTGATTTAAAAGGCTGATCTTGATCATACCATCCAATGTCAGCTTAATAAGATATGTAGAGTTGCAAATAAACCTCTCGTGGTGACTTACACTGGCCTGATCCAAGCATGCCTCGACTCGGGAAACATCAAGAATGCAGCTTACATCTTCGATCACATGAAGAAGGTCTGCAGCCCGAACTTGGTCACTTGCAACATAATGATAAAAGCTTATTTACAAGGTGGGTTCTTTGAAGAAGCAAGGGAACTTTTCCAGAAGATGTCCGAAGATGGAAATCATATAAAAATCAGCTCGGATTTCGAATCAAGAGTATTGCCAGACATGTACACGTTTAACACGATGCTAGACGTGTGTGCTGAACAAAAAAAGTGGGATGATTTTGGTTATGCGTATCGGGAGATGTTGCATCATGGATACCATTTCAATGCGAAACGGCATCTCAGAATGGTACTTGAAGCTAGCAGAGCAGGAAAGGTAAAAAAATAAAAATGAGACAAATTTATACATTTTGGTTGGAATTCTTATGTTATCATCTTGTCTAAACAATCTGTCGTGTGTGTGTGTGTGTTTGTGATCAGGAGGAAGTGATGGAAGCGACATGGGAACACATGAGACGAAGTAATAGAATTCCGCCATCGCCTCTAATCAAAGAAAGATTCTTCAGGAAACTCGAGAAAGGCGATCATATTTCGGCTATCTCGTCTCTTGCTGATCTTGATGGAAAAATTGAGGAGACTGAGTTACGAGCATTTTCGACTTCCGCATGGTCCAGGGTCTTGTCCCAATTCGAGCAAGATTCAGTTTTGAGGTTAATGGACGATGTGAAGAGACGCGTGGGTTCAAGAAATGAGTCTTCGGATTCGGTTTTGGGGAATCTATTGAGTTCTTGTAAAGAGTTTCTCAAGAACAGAACACAAGGCGTTGTAAGTTAAGTATTGCGAATCTAAAGTTAAAAAGCAAAGGCTGTAATGTTCTGATTCCTTATAAATAGAAAATAATTAGAAGAAGGGTAATATAATGTGATTACATCTATACTAATATTTGGGAAGTACATCCTAAGAGTCATAACTTAGATTTTGTAAGATATTACAATATATGCCATTATATAATTCTAATCATAAAATTTATTCCATGTCACTAATATATATAAACGGGTCAACGGGTTTAAAGATATTAAAAGATTTTATTTATATAATACAGATAATTCTGAAAAAAATTCTTCAAACGATTACACAATTGAAAATTATATACTAATCAATTCGAAAATGTAACACAATTAGTAAAAATGTTATATACTAATATATTATTCGAAAATATGATCGAAAATGTTATGAAAATGTTATATAGTAATCCATTATTCGAACATGTTATCAAAAATGTCATTGAAAATGTTAATGAAAGTGATATATCATTGAAAATTGTATATTTTGTTTGAGAAGTGTAAGAAATTACATTATATCTACATATACATTTTTAGAGGGGATTTTGGTTTTTAATTCAAATGGATCGGGTTTTGACCCGGGTTTAATTTGTTCGGATCCTATTTGTAATCTTTAATTACCCATTTAACACTATTTCCTTAATTTATTCCCACATTTATCGGCATGCCATTAGAATTTATTATTTAAATTTGCAAAATTAATAAAGATATTAAGCAAACTAAATCTCAGAGTATGTTGCTATATTCGAGTGTATATTCTCGATTTAACGTTTTCAATTCTACCTAATTCCAACTAATCTTTCAACTAATTAATCACCACCTTTATTTTCGGAGATTTTCTTTCTCCAGTATCTCAACAAAATCCATTTAAAGAAACAAAATTATGACTCTAATATATTAAAATCTCGGCATATTCCAAAATATTAACGAATCCAAAGATTTTTTCTCCAATTTGTTGCTACTTCGAATATTTTTTGCGTGAAGTGATAGGGATTAGTGACCTAATTTTGACCCTATAAAATACTCTACACCTAAATGTGGATCTTTATCATCAAACAAAAAAAGGTCACGATTTGCAAGAAAAACATTTAACACACCTTTTTCCTCTTCACATGGCTGCTACTTTTGAGTCTATGGTGAAGATAGATGTCGAATGGAGAGATTGTTGCAACGGTTTGTCATCGAGCTTTAGCTGATGCTGTGTACGGGTAGGGAATTAGTGGCTGTGACGGCGACCGTCGGTGAGATGTTGGTTCAACGGTGGGTAATAGAGCTTTTGCTTGGTGGTGTAGAACTCGGATCTCTTTGAAATTAGGTTTGGATCTAGACCATCGCAGATCCACTTTGCCGTTCAAACCGTCATATCAAACCATCGAGAAAACTTGCCGAGAAAGATATTCTGCAAATCCATGTCTTAGTGTATGTGTTGCTTGGTGTTGTTGCGATTATTAAACCGTGAAACTAAACCAAGCTAAACCAAGAGATGACTTGTGTAATTGAAATCCAGAATCAAAACTTGGAATCGTGAGATGACTTGTGATGATGGTCATGTGTAGTGGTGGTGGTTTGTGCGATTGTTTGTTTGGGTTTTGGAATTTGATTATTAAACCGGAATTGTGGACCTTGGGTTAAGGTCACGTGGTTGTAAGTTGTTTCTTATTAAATGGGCTTGGTTTAGTCTCTAAATATTTAATCCTAATTAATTGTGGGATAAGTTACTGAATCGAAATCCATGGGTTGAATCAGGATGTTATTGAACATGTTTTTTTCAAATCTTCAATTCATAGCTGTAATCGAAAAAAAGATCTGTGCTGAATCAGTAAGATAATCAGAGGGGATAAAGATTTTTTGTATGAACAATTGGATCGACTCTTTTTTTCAAGTGAAAAAAAAGATTGACATTTTACCAAAAAAATAAAGAAAGCAAAAAACATTATCTATACCCTTTTTTTATACTATATACAAATATAGTTATGTAATGTGTCTTCTTATTGATTGTCTTTCATTTTTCAAACTAACTTTTTTTATAATATTAATGATATTTTAACTCTATACAAATTAAAAATTTATATCTTATGAGAACTATTTAAAGCAAACTTTTAAATTTACTCGAATTATATATTTTAAATAAAATTATTATTAAAAAAATTACAAAATGATGTTTAATTTTACGGGACGAGGTTATATGGTGGGACGGATTTGAGTCGACATTAAAATGGGAAGGTATACATAGCCCTGGGTCTTCGGCGAAAACGGGTTATTCGGGTCGGGTTGTTCGGTTATGGGAAAATTCGGTTTTTGAGAAAAGCTCCCGAATTGAACCGAAATTAATTTCGGTTCGGTTCGGTCGGTACTCGGGTTTTTCGGGTCGGTTATCAAGATTTATTTCACATCCGAAATTAAACCGGAAATTTTGAGATTCGGTTTTTTTAACCCGAATTAAACCTGTATCAAGCACAAATATCAGACAATACATCAAAAAATAACCATTACAGACCATTACAGAAGCTGCTAAGCTAGCAAGCTAGCATTGTATCAAATCACCATATTACAGAACCATACAAACACTAGAGTAATTAGTAACTCATAGCAAAGTTGTTTGTTATACAAAAGCATGCTTATCGCATCAAAAAGTAGATAAAAAGAAGCTTCAAAGTCAGTACTATCCCGTCCATTGTTAAGGCTGCATATCCACGTCAAAAAGAACAAAAGTGCAGCTTCCTACCTACACATGAAAATAATAACAAAAATTGATCAGAAACTTAAGTATTTAAGTATCTAAGCTAACAATCTAAACTCTAAAGCAAACTTCAGCAATTAACAGTCTAAAGAGAAGCAGTTAACAATCTATAGAAAACAAGAACTGAAGACAAAGTAGTTCACTTTACTTTAACTACTAAATTAGGACAGAGTAGTTCACTTTACCTTAACTACCTGTCATACTTTGAAGATTCATGGAGGAGCTGGAGTTGAATTCTGAGAATCTGTAAAAAGAAAAACAAAGTCAAAGTAGGAAAGAGATTAAAAATACACAATCACAGAATAAAAGAGTTAAGTGTACTTACCAAGAGATTCAAAAAACTCAACTTCTTCCAACATTTGCACTAAGTTTGCTACTTGTGCTTCAGATTTAAATGAACACCTTAGCCACTGTTGGGTGCATAGCAAAACCTCAATCATGTAAGGAGTTAAAGAACTCCTATAAGGGTCCAACACTCGACCACTTGTACTAAAGCAGAAGCAGCAGAAAATGTTGCCAAACTACTGCTCTATTAGCATACTTCTTACGTGGTCTCTGTGGATTAACAGAAGCAGAAGCAGCAGGTGCAGGTGTTTTACGCCTCTTCTCTGCTTGAACATCTTCAGCATTTTCAGGTTGAAGCATCGGCTCCTCAATGTTCTCATTGTGCTCTGTAGACATCTACAAAACTTAAACAATTTCGTATTAGCACAAGGAATGAGCACAAACACACAAAATATACCATAAACAAAGTTAATAACCTAGAAGAACCAAGGAGAATTTTCAGATTTAGAACTTTGAAACTAAACACTAACACTAAAATGCTCCAAATCAAAACACAGCCACACGTAATAGACCATAAACAAAGCTAAGAACCTAGAAGAACAAAGAGAATTTCGGATTTTGAACTTTGTAAGTAAACCCTAACATTAAGATGCTCCAAATCGAAACAGAGACACAAGAAATAGACCACAAACAAAGAAAATAGACATGGTAATCTCTTATTTTTGAAATCTGAAATTTTAGGGTTAGGCTTTTTCATTTCCAAATCAGAGATTATCGAGACAAAGGAAGAGGTTAGAGACCAAAGACTAAAACGAAAAGCCATTAAAGAGAAAGAAGAAGTGTTTACCCCTAACAAAGTCGAGGTTGCGGGTTGAATCTCTGAGCAAAGGGTTAGTCTTAACACCGGTTGAGATTACAGAGAATGAAAGAAGCTTGGAAGATGATGAATGAGAAGAGACGAATTAAAGATTATTGATTAGGTTGAAGAAACAGAGAAAGATTTCTCTTTCGCTATCGCAAGAGAGAGGCGCAGTCGCAAAGAGCAAATACGAAGAAGAAACCCTAGTAATTAGGTTAATGTCTTATGGTTATCTTTATATAGGACTGCAGATTCTCGGTCTAGGTTAAACCGATCGGCTCCGATTACCGAACCGAACAAAACCGAATTCCGAATTCTCAAACTAATTTCACCGATCGGTTTGCTCTCATGAAATCGGAAAATGATGTTTAATTTTACGGGACGAGGTTATATGGTGGGACGGATTTGAGTCGACATTAAAATGGGAAGGTATACAACGGGAAGTACATCCTAAGAGTCATAACTTAGATTTTGTAAGAAATTACAATATATGCCATTATATAATTCTAATCATAAAATTTATTTCATGTCACTAATATATATAAACGGGTCAACGGGTTTAAAGATATTAAAAGATTTTGTTTATATAATACAGATAATTCTGAAAAAAATTCTTCAAACGATTACACAATTGAAAATTATATACTAATCAATTCGAAAATGTAACACAATTAGTAAAAATGTTATATACTAATATATTATTCGAAAATATGATCGAAAATGTTATTGAAAATGTTATATAGTAATCCATTATTCGAACATGTTATCAAAAATGTCATTGAAAATGTTAATGAAAGTGATATATCATTGAAAATTGTATATTTTGTTTGAGAAGTGTAAGAAATTACATTATATCTACATATACATTTTTAGAGGGGATTTTGGTTTTTAATTCAAATGGATCGGGTTTTGACCCGGTTTTAATTTGTTCGGATCCTATTTGTAATCTTTAATTACCCATTTAACACTATTTCCTTAATTTATTCCCACATTTATCGGCATGCCATTAGAATTTATTATTTAAATTTGCAAAATTAATAAAGATATTAAGCAAACTAAATCTCAGAGTATGTTGCTATATTCGAGTGTATATTCTCGATTTAACGTTTTCAATTCTACCTAATTCCAACTAATCTTTCAACTAATTAATCACCACCTTTATTTTCGGAGATTTTCTTTCTCCAGTATCTCAAC